AAGTAAAAACACTACTAAGTTCTGTTTTGGTGAGGTGGCCAAAGTGAAATACAAACTGAACTGTAACTTAAGCAGCGTTTTGTTCAGGACAAAGCCCTCCCCCTGGCCTGGACTACTTTTGATCTTAATTAATTAATACAAGAATGTCCAGAATCCCAGGTTCTTCAGCTAAGCTGACTGTCTAAGCCTATTTGAAATCCAGGCATCTCATACTGTTTCCTGAAATACATGCTGAGAGCACACCTAGCTGGAATGTGTTAAATCCCAGCATTGCTCCTTCCCTCTCCTCCCACTTCTATTCCTGTAGCCACCTGGTTAGTGTCTTCAGCTGCAAAGTGGGAGATGTGTGAAGGCCCACGCAGGGCTGAAATGCTCAACTCAAACTGCTCTCCAGCTAGAGGAGTGTCTTGATCATAAGCACTTGGTGGAAAACCGATACGAAGTTGGGAAACTGCAGCCAAAAGTGAAAAAGGAATGAGATTGTGGAAAAGGAATGGGATTATGAGAGCCCTTCAGTGCAGGTGTCTGCTTTGGGATTTTAGTTGCGTGGTAGGAGTTATGAGGTTCTGATCCCAGTTTTCTATAATCAGCTAAACATTGTGCTTTGAAAGATTCTGGGAGGGGAAAAAAGTAGTTGAAGGAGCAGTGGCAAAAGCTGGAGTATCCTACTCTGAGTTCAGAGATCAACCTCCAGGTCAAGCTCTCTTTTACCTCCTACCTGTAAGAAAGGTTTCTCAACTTTGGGACCTGTCTCACAGAGTACTACTTAATCTCAGAGTTTTGCCTAGAGCTGTTCCCAAAAAATTATGCCATGAAAGAAGTCAAGGGTTGCATAAGTGGTGTCATGGGTTTGAGACCACGATATTCTTGCATGCGAGAGGCAGGGAGGACACAGAGAAGTGCCCTGAGCCTCATGCTTGGTTTTTATGTAGCAGTGTTTATTCTAACAAAGTGCAAGTCCCTTTCCAAGGTCTGGCCCTTGGATACTATAAACATGCATTTAAGTGAGAAGTGGAATATTCCATGTGGGGTTTGTTTGTTTGTTTGTTTGTTTTGGAGTGGTAGTGTCCTTTAGAAGATCAGGATTTCCTAGGCTGTGCAGTGGAGGAACATCAGGCTAGAGTTTCATAAAAGTGCTGTGTGATGGATGAATGACACGAAGCTCGAGGGATGTAGCAGTAACAATTCTCTTTAGGGAACTAGGTCACTCCTGAAATGCCCTTTGGGATCCCTGATTAGGATGCTTTCGAGCATCTTATACCCAAGCATATGTTTCTCTTTTGCAAAACAGCAGTAAAGATGTTTACTTTGGGGTTTTTGTTTGTTTTGTTTTTATTTGTGCTTTTTTTAACAGGTACGTAAGTTGTGAGATAGAGAGGTGCTCAGAAATGAGGCCATTAGATGGATTAATCAGAGGTCCATAAATGTGAAGTTGTTATCATTTGAGCATTGCTTTCAATTAAATTAAACACGAGGAGATGCTCTCCAAATAAAGGATAAAGGATGGGATCCAGTGCTCTTGTGAGCCCTCTGGCACCTCTCCTGCAAGCCACTTAATCACTTGCTTAACTTCCTGTTTTCAAAGACAATTGGAACTACTCAAGTAACTTAATTTTAAGCTTGTACTTAAGCATCTTGCCAGATTAGCACCAAAGGGCTCAGTTCAAGAGCACTCAGCCCCAAGCAAAGGTAGCAATGGAAGAATTTTAGATCCACCACATAGTAGGGTCCCATGGGACAATATGCTGAAAATACCACCACCATTGGGGCATTTTGTGGCATTGATTTTTTAGGCAAGTCTCCCCCATTGCAATTCTTCCCCTATTTAAAATTGAATGTGACTGTATCGTTTTCAGTGTTAAAATGACCAGCTTAATTTTGGAAGCTCATACATTTATGATAACTCCAGGGCTTGGAATATTTCATAATCATAACACAGTGTCCTTTTTGGATGAATAATCAATTCCGTAGAGCAAACTGCTTGTCTGCTACTAGACTGAAAGCATATAGCTACTCTGTGTTGATGCAATATAATATGGGTGTTATTTATTCAGCTGTTTCAAATAAAGCAGCTCATCCATCGATCTGGAGAGACTGGCCGTTCTTTTAGTTGTGTGCTCTTGCTTTTAAGACAATTGAAGCAAAATGAGATGCAGGTCAATAGCCCTTTTTTCCCTTTTGGAAGAATTACATGTGTTGAAAACAGTGTTATAATTTTCTTTTATGTGTCATGTGTGTAAAAAAAATAATTTAAAACATCATAAGGCCACTCAAGAAGAAAATCCCCAAATTTATTCTCTTTATCATGGAGTATAATTTGGATTCCACTAATTTTGCAAAGTTTAGAGAATTAAAAATAGGTAAAGAAAGGCTTTCCCCTCATGCTGGATACAGAAGCATAGGCAGCTAATGCGAAGCTTCACATGGTGCAGTTAAGTGTATATTATGCATTTTAAAGCATTTCTGCTGCATGGCTTACTCTGGATAAGACTGAAGCTTGGATATGATCCCAGTTGTGGCTGGAGTTGAAACAAGTAATATTTTAATTAAATATACCGTTTTTACACACATGAATGTGAAGTGTAATTCAGCTAACAAAATATTTCCCCAGATACATTAGCAAGCAACGTGCTGTATCCATGGTGTACGGCTGCAGATGGCCTGTGTGAGCCTAACGTGGTCTCAGAAGAACCATTTGATCATTTTGTTACCGATGTTGATATACAAATATGGATGTTAGCCAAATGTCGTAGGCTAATATTCTAATATAATTTACAATATGCATTTGGCTCTGTTTTGCTCATTGAGTGAAACTCTTGAAATGTAACAGCTTCTGTCACCTTTTGGAGCCTTCTCTGTTCTTTGTCCTTCTCTGCCCATCTGATACGGGTGAGGGGTGTTGCATCTGTGATAGTGTTCATGTCCACCGACACCCTGTCCGAATACCTGTAATGAGAGATGCTGTAGCTAAGCCCAGGGAGCTTTGAGAGGCCACCAGCTGCGAGCTTGGTGGGAACTATCTGTCCACCCAAGATGAAGTCCTCCTGTCCTGCTGCGCAGGTACTTGAGCCATTGGCCAGACCAGCTATCCCACTTTATTGTCCGGGTAACTGCCAAGCCTGGACCTGAGCACTGGCCTGTCATTGGGTTTTGTAACATTCACTTGCATGTGTCTCGTTTAGTCCAAAATTAACATAAATCTCAGCTTTTCTTGGTACTGAAGTTTAGGCTCTACTTTAGAGCTTGCTTTGAGCATGCAGCAATGCTCATGTCACAGGGGCTGCCAGGAATGACAAGAACACCAGGGATGAATTGCTGAAGATCAGTGGTCCCATGTGTAGGAGTGGGGACGTGGTTTTACCCCTTCGTGTGGGGGACCCCTCTTCTCCCTCCTTGGCCAGAAGAGCTGCTGCATGGCCAAGATACCAGCCCATTTGGCTACTCACTCATTGCAGGCAGTTCCTGCTTTTCCTCCTCCTCAGAGAAGCTTGATTCCAGTAGGGAATATTAGCTCCCACCACACTATGTGTCCCATTACAGCAAGGCCTGTGGCTCCTGATTAATTAAAGTCCTTTTATGGCCCCATCACTATGGGCATCTGACCATGCCACAGCCTTTGATGTATTTATCTATAAAGCCCTGGTGCGAGGTAGGGAAATGACGTTATCCCTGTGTTGCTGATGGAGACCTGAAGCTAATGACTTGCTTTAGATCCCCGAGCGGGGCTGTTGCACAATAGGAATTCCCATGCATATCTGTCGTGTAAGTTTTGGACTGTCTTTCCTGGCTTTCAGTCTAGCTTAAAGCAGGGGTTACCAGTGCTTTTTCAATAAAAAGAAGGGGACATAAAATTTCGGATAGTATATATTTACTGTGAATCTCAGATCATCTGGGGTGAAAAGAAATAAAAATGGATGAGAAAGAAAGAAAGATGTATAAAACATTTTTATGGTAAATCTTTTAAATCATGGATTGCCATATATAAATGGTGTAATATTTATCCCAGGTGCTCATATTTGTGCAGCAATTTAGGAAGGTAATTGAAAAAGCATGTTCTGTGAATAGGGGTAATAGGCATGCAGGCAGTGGGTTCTTTGGGGGTGTAAGGAGCCTTTGGGGAGGTAAATGTATGTTATATACAATCAATAGAAGAAGAGTTTCCGTAGAGTAAGAAGCAAGGTAACTGCTTAGCCGATGAAAGCTACTTTTCAAAGCATACTGTGGTGGCTTGTGTTTTTCAGTATGATTTGTAACCTTATTGAGCCAGACCACACTTCCTGAGCAGCACCTTAAACTTTTGTGGACTGTTTTGTTACACAGACAGCAAATAAGCTATTGCTTCGTCTCTGGAGGACAACTGGTCCAGTTTATCAGGACATCTTTTTTACCAAGATTCCTTCTCAGCAGATGCTCTAATAGGCCCAATTGCAATCTACAGAAATAGTTTACAGCTGAGTGTTGAGTCCTGCGAGAAAAGGTTTTTTAATGAAAAATGAATCCAGACTTCTCTTTCTATGCACCCGTTAGCTTTTTTTTAATTGAGCTGTATAAATAACAAACGACATTCAGTAATTGGTAACCAAGTAATTGGTCACCTTCTTTAGGCATCTCCATGTCTGCCCCATTCAAGCAGTTATGGAGCCATGGAGTGCTGTGGTTGACACCGTGACTGTCTGGTGTCAACAGATCTACTTGAGGTCGCAACCAACTCAGATTCAGCTGGTCGTAAAACTGAGGTCTGGGAGGAGATAAAGAAAGTTCAGAGATTATTAGAAATTAAGATTTTACTCTCAGCTTTCTTCTGGATAGTTTTGTAAATCTCCTATGCTGGTCATGGTGGAGATGAGTTTGAGCAGTGGCTCCAACCCATGCCAAAGGTAGTTTCCAAAGAGTATACAGTCATTCAGATTAGAAAGCCAAAGACAGATGGACATGAGGCAGCATCCTCATGTCAAGCCTTAGCTGTGCCATCTTAAAGGGCCACCAAACTCTGATGGAATTTTGCATTTTTGACCCATGGCCCTTTGACAGCCATAGCATCTCTGTACAGAGGAGGTCATTTTGGTTCTTCTGTCCGTTGCATAGATAGGTCTAGGTCCTAAGAATAGCTTCCTCTCCTCTTTTGTTTGTGTTTTCACTGGCTTTAGTGATGGGTCTGTTTCAGTACCTGGAAGAGGGAGGTAGAGCAAGCTCTAGTCAGCCCTCAACAGAGCATCGTCTGAGAACTGCTGAAAGAGAGCAGCTGCATTGAGTAAAGAGGGGCAGAGCACAACGTGTGCTACAGGGAAGGTTGCAAAAGGACACAGCACCTGAATTTAACAGGGGATAAATAACGGGGCAGAACTGTCTTGAGATGGGGCTTGCAGGAATAAATACTTCCTAGAGCATGACATAAAGGTAAAATATTTGCAAGAGCTTTCACAGAGCTTCAATCCAATTAACATGTCATAAGAAATTATCTCCTGTCTCTGTCAGCCATTTTAAACTTATCTACCATCTGTTAGAGACACCTAAAATCTTTGGGTAAAATACTAATGAAGGAAATAAATAGCACTCTATACCCTTGCTCTACATTTAGCTGGCCCCAGCCTTCTGCCATGGACATCATGAGGATTTCCAACCCAAGGAGATCCAAGCCTTCACTCTACATCTCTCTCTGTGGGTGATTGCATCAGCTCTCATCTGGGCCCCCTCACAAGGCTGGACAGGTTTTGTTTTTAGACTTTCCCTTTTAGGGATGGAAGGGCTCTGCTGATTTTAAAGCTGAAACATGGACAGATTAAATGACGATCTCCCATTCCCCTCCAGTGCTCCATCTCCCCCACTGCCTAGCACTCCTCAACTTTCCCTTCACAGTCGCCTACCTGGATGAAGGGCAAAAGGGAGAGTTAGAAATCATAACAATCCCTCTAATGCCCTGAACATAAATATGAGGGAGAGAAATAAAACAGAAGCCATCTCACAGCATCTGTGTAGTAGGCAAAGGGAGAGTTAGAAATCATAACAATCATAAATATGAGGGAGAGAAGAAAAACAGAAGCCATCTTACAGCATCTGTGTAGTAGGAAGAGAGCAGGTAGTTCCAGGATGTCCTGGACTGTCACTGGCCTTTGACCAGCCAGAAGCTCTACATTTATCAATAGAGAACCTGAAATTACAACACTTAGGCAAAAGTGCATGTCCTGATGAGATACTCCTCAAAATTATGGAGACACGGGATGAGTAAGTGCATTTCCAGAGCACGTAGCATCACTTGCTAAAGAACAGGCACTGATCATTTTGCTTCAGGAATCTCCCAAACACTGAGGTGGCTCCTTGCCCTGAAGAGCTGCCCATTCAGCAGCAGCAGGAGATGGAGGGACTTGCCCAAGGGAATGGGTTATGAGTCTACAGATCTAATGGGTTATGGATCTAGCTATTAGCAGCAGAGATGAGAGCAGAACTTGAGTCTTCCAGCCTGTGTCCTATTCAAGGAGATGATAGACCGTTTTCCTAGTCATCTCGTGGATTGTGTGTTGTTATTTCTACAGTTTGTCTATAGCGATAGGCTTTGTGTAAATTCCTTAATAGGCTTGCATTTATTACGTTACGTTTAAGCCTGATCCTAAAGTTACATTTTGCTGTTTTAGTGTTATGCAGGAGAACAGGTTGAGCGCTTCACTGTTGTTATTTCTACAGTTTGTCTATAGTGATAGGCTTTGTATAAATTCTTAGTAGGCTTATCTTTATTACATTATATTTAAGTCTGATCCTAAAGTTACATTTTACTGTTTTAGTGTTACGCAGGAGAACAGGTTGAGCGCTTCACGCAGACTGTCCAGGAGACTTCTGTGTTTGCGGGTTCAACCTGAGAGTGGATTATGAGATGCGCGGGTGCCTGAAGCACTTTGATTTCTGTTTCCCTCTCGCAGATTGTGGATGGCAAACTGTGGTTCCAGTTGGACTGCGGAAGCGGCCCGGGGATCCTGGGAATTTCTGGCCGGGCTGTCAATGATGGAAGTTGGCATTCGGTCTTCCTGGAGCTGAATCGCAATTTCACGAGCCTGTCCCTCGATGACAGCTACGTGGAGCGCCGCAAAGCCCCCCTCTATTTCCAGACTCTGAGCACGGATAGCTCTGTGTATTTTGGAGCCCAGGTCCAAGTGGACAACGTTCGGAGCCTCACGGACAAGAGAACAACACAGGTCTTGAGTGGCTTTCAGGGCTGCCTGGATTCCGTTGTCCTAAACAACAACGAGCTGCCGCTCCAGAACAAGCGCAGCAGCTTTGCAGAAGTGGTTGGCCTGACCGAGTTAAAGCTTGGCTGTGTTCTCTACCCCGACGCCTGCGAGAGGCATCCGTGCCAGAACGGTGGGACCTGTACGAGCGTGCCATCTGGTGGTAAATATTTTGCATTACCTTATATCTTTCACCTTTTTTTTTCCTACTTATTGTCAGAGATGGTTTTATGTGGCAACATTCTTGGAAAATCCTAGGGACTCCCTAAAACTGAGAGGTATTGCAAGTTTATAAACACTACATGCTCTGTAACACTGAAGCTGTGCCTCTTATCCTGGCACAGCTGGAGAAGGACATGGATTTGTTGGCTGCTGGTATAATTCCATGTATATGGAAACCAAGAGAATTATGATTCTGGTAATGCTTAGCTGGGTTTTCAGGATTGAGTTACAGCTCTGAATGTTGCATGAAGGTGGTTGGTCACTGAAGTCCATCACAGATGTAACAGCAGTGTTGCCTTCTGTGTTTCTGAAGCTCTCACAAATAACTGCTGAGCTGTCCACAAACACCGTGGTCCTTTGGGGAGTGAGTAATTTGATTACATGTCTGTGTGTAAAATAGGCAGTCTGTACCAGCATAAACCCCCCAGAAGTCTAAAGCTTCCTTGAAGGTCAGAATGCCTCAAGGTCCAAGTAATGCTATCCAAAGTTTGTAAGGCATTGCTTTAAATAGTGCTTATGTCAGAGTTTCCCGCCCAATGGTTACGTGGTGGTTTTTGTGATTTGGCATTATCGATTTACTAGATATGATCAAGAGCACAGGTTGAAAGAACCATGAGAATAGTCAGCGTCTTAGCAGTGAAAAAGCTCAAATTCAGGGTTTTCCAGTTACCTACCAATCCCTCACCTGGACAGAGGATTTCTGTGCCCAACCTGCTTAGTCCTTTTTTACTGGAGAATTTTTAAGGTGGTGCTGTTCATAGCAATCTCTTTCTAAACTTTAGGAACATCCTGAGCTTTAGGACAGTTTAGTCTTCAAGGCTGAAATCTGACCAAATCTGAATGTCTAGACCCACAGATGAATTTCTTACATGGGTAACCTCAGGCAACCTGGATTTCCTTGTGCTGAGATATCTCAGCTAGCATCTCCTCTGGATCCCAGATGTTGTTGCGGGCACCTCTTCTCCCTTACCTTGTTTTCCTTTCCTTGTCTTACACAGGCCATTGATTTTATGGATCCAGGATCTTTCCCTTCTTAGCAAAACTCTGGCTTCCTTGTCTTACACAGGCCATTGATTTGGATCCAGGATCTTTCCCTTAGCAAAACTCTGGTCTATATATAGTTCATGGACTTTTTCAAACCTTTCTCTTTTAGGTGAGAATGATGAAAAATAACACATAGGTGCGGCTATCCCCAGTAATAACACATAACTGATACCTCCCTCCAAAAATTAAGCATTGCTCATCAGCAGAAGCCTGTTCTTAATGAAGAATCTGAGCTATGGCTTCTGCAGCGCCACAGCCGCAGTCAAGCTGTTTTCCATGGTCTTCTGGGCTGTCTGTGCTTCCTGAGTATAGGGCAGGAAAGCTGCTATTTCCATGGGCAGTGGCAACCAGCCCACCAGGATGGGTCCCTGTCCTACCTAGGAGGAACACACAAGTTTTAAGTGTGACCATGGCTGTTGGGGGCCTGTTTCCCTTCGCTGCCGAAACCCGCTGCCTCCAAACCGCCGCTGCCAGGGGCTCTCTCCACATCTCCTTTCGAGTTTGTCCTGCTCCAGGTCCTGATTGCTGAACTTGCTAGTTGGCTGTGGTTGATGGCAGGTGAAGAAAAATACACAGAGGGAAGAAAAGGAAACAAAATGAGTGCTGCAATAAAAAGGGGAGGAAAGGAAAATAATTCTGAGGGAAAAGGATGCTGTGGCCATTGAGAAAATTGCTAAACCAGGTTATTTAAATTCCTCAGAAATATGAAAGCAACATGAACGTGGTTGTAATAAGGCTTGATTCAGATTCCATACTTAATAAATTAGGTTAAACGTTCACCACGCTAGCAGCCTAGGAAGTGCAAGAGCAGCTCTGGCTATTGATTTTGCTGGAGTCTATTTACAGTACTGCTCAGCAATCTCATGGTGGGTAAATTGAAACCCTTCTAACAAATCACTTTTTACAGGAATTCCTTTTCCCAGGGCCATGTGCATGCCGGTTGGAGCTGAGCGGAGCAGTGGGATGGGGAGACACTAGCGGCTCCAGCCCCCGGGCCTGTTTCCCTGCTGGAATGCCAGGCACAGCTCTGGTGTCCGCGGCGCTCGCGGGCGCAGGGTCTGCTCCAGGCCTCGGCGCGGGGGCTCTGCCCTGCGGAGACATCGCTGCTGCCCGCCGTGAAAAAAGCTGCTGGTTGTTCTTACTGCCTCAGCAGTGTGTGTAAATAAAGGAGAGTTATAATGCCGTCATTCCAAAGCAGTGGGCCCTAAATATACTTCAGTGGTTTTGTAAACCGGCCCACTAGGAGAAGTCATAGATATTTTTGTTTCCACTAGGCAAAGGAAGTCTGCTAGTGTCTGTGTGCTCCGTGTATGAACAGACCATGTGATTAAATTCCCTAGAGAGGAGAGCCCCACAGTATTGCAAATGCTGGTTACAGAACCACAAATTGCAGCGTACACTTAAGAATGGCAGGATGTTGTACTTGCTGGCGTAGATGTTAGCATACTAACCCATTTAAATTTTTTAAAAATGAAGTAAATCTTCATTTTTTTTAAATCTTCATAAAGAAAACAGTATTTCGGGGGCAAGGAGGGAAAGGAAGCATTCATAAATGTACTGTGATAGCGAAGGCCTCTTTCCCAGCCTTAATGTCTTCAGCCTCATCAAAATCTTCTCACTAATATTTTCTATAATGTTTTTCTCCTATTAAAATTACTGGAGAATGCTCATTTTCCTAAGCAATGAGTGTTTGACATAATAGCAGGGTTTATTTTAATAAATTAAATTTTGTAATTTGAATTTTACAGACAAGATTTCATACACTGTTAGCATCCTTTTTTCCATATAAAAGTCCTATGGTACTTTACAAGGGAATTAAGAGAGAAGAAAAGAAAGCTCAGACTTGTAGCTACCTTTAAAAGAAAACGTTCAAAGAAAGGTTGTCCAGCATTATAATATCAAAGAGGTGATGGGCTACACGCCTGAAGCCAAAGGGGCTCTGTCTGATTTGCATATAATTTGCATAAACTGGTCATCTAAAATACAGACCTCTGCAATTATATTCCCTTTGTTTTTGGTATCTTCCTTTCTGAGTAGAAATACCTATAAATATTACTCTCTCACACATACACACAATATTGCTAGGTAATATTTAAGTAATATTTAAGTAATAATTAATAAAAAATCGCCTCTCTTTACCTTTTACTTCGCCATTCAGCGATAGGAATAGAGTCACATTCCGGCCCTGCTTTGGGAAATGCTGCACACTTGTACACGCTCCGAGTGTGTCCCCCTGCCACATGGACGTGTCTGCTGCAACCTTGAACTTGCCAAGGCAGGAGCAGAGAGAGAGCTCGGTCTGGGTGGCAAAGGTGTTGCCCAGAGACAGGAATCTGCTGGGCAGCTCAGGAGACCACAGCTGCCAACGTCAGAGAAGTCACCACCAAACACTGCGTGCTCATCCCTGGCCACGCTTCTGCTGTGGACAGATTTAGAGCAATTTTCATGGAGACACTGGAAACCACATCCCTGAAATACAGGGCATGTTTTTCCGCTTTTCTAGTTCCTCCCCTTGTGTGGGTCAGTGAAGCTATTATTGTTAAAAAAAAAAAAAGAAGTTTTTAGCATTTTGAAACGTGACAAAACAATGTATTTTTCCTCAGCCTCGCTTTCAGAAACTGCTTGGCTCTTTGAACCAAAATTTCCTGATAAAATTCAACCAAATGTTTAAAGTCTGGCTAAGTTATAAGACCCTGAGTGTGAGGTCTTAAAATTGGAAGTGTCACACAACTTAAATAATAGAGTGGCAATACCAGTTCTGCCAATAGTAAGTGCATGTTTATCTGCTTGAATAACAACATGAATAATCACAGTGATGGAAAGCTTTACTGTAATCAAATCTGAATAACACGCCAAGCTTTTCAACCACAAAAAAAAAAAAAAAGTGCTTTTAGAACCTGCAATTATAAGTATAGTTACTTCCTTTTAATTTGATCAGTCCTACATACATCTGGATTTGATTGAAATAATGGCTTATATGAGCAGGCAATTTTATTTGAATATAAAGCATTTGAGCAGAAATATCTAACAACCCAAGAACTGAAGGCAGAACATGAGGAGAGAAGGCCACTGTTTTCCCCACTACTTGTTCTTAGAAGCCCTCCTCTTTTTAATTTCCTCTCTTTTTTTTTCATCAACAAAGTTAAAATCCAAAGGGAGGGAAAAAATTTCAGCTTACACCGAGATGGTGATTTTAGTCACTGAAACATGTTAGCAACATTAAGATATGGGTATTTTGAGGATTAGGTAGAATGATGTATAAGGAAATATTGTGTATTAATACCATGACCATGGACATAGACTTGAATATGTTCTTGTTCTGTCATGCACACAAACAAAACAGAAAACTTTACTGTTAGCATCTCAAATTTGCATGTCAATTTTCATTTGTAAAAGGTTGTAGATTTTTTTAAAATCTTTTCTTATAGCTACGTTTTCAGATATCTAGATTTAATATACCAGCTTCAAAGCAAATACAGCCCAGTTGTGCTGTTAGTTTCATAGAAGGCACTAGCCTAATAAAAACAGGGTTGTATTCATACCAGGTTTGGCATGAGACAATGATCACATCTCTGAAGACAAGTAAGATAAGTCTGAAGTGGCAGGAATCTGTATTGCTGACAAACAGGCAGTTCTTGTCTACCAGAATACAAGTGCTGGGAGGGATCCTGTTCACCTTTGGTTCTTCTCATCCATGAACTCACCATGAAAGGCTATGGAGGGCAAGCCTGTTTCAGGTCTTGCTTCACAGCATTGAAGGGAACTACATGGTGAGTTCAAATGCAAGAGCCAAAGCCTGTACCAGGTGAAAGCCATGTCCTCGTTTAAAGCAGGCAGAAGTACAGATTGAAATATCATTTTTCCTCTTAACAATTTGTATGACTGAAAAAGACACACTAAGAAGGTAGGGCTTGCTAGCCTAGGAATAGCCTGGTGTGTTGAACCTGTCCTTGCTCTGGATGCCCTCTTGGTAGTGCCTTTTGTGCCACAAGCAATCCTAGATAGCTGGAAGGAGGTTTCTTTCCTCCCCTACTGAGAAGAGAGGGACACATAATCTTTCCTTCAACTGTGCTGTCCTTGGCTGTGGAAAATTTGCTTTTTATTATTGTGCTAAAAGGAGGGGAAGAAACATAGTATATTGTGTGGATATTAAGTTAAAAGGGCAACAAGCATCTGGAGTGCACTCCTGACCAAGAGCTTTTTTTCCGGATCACAGTCTTCCAACATGTGACTGTGTTCCACCAGGAGATCCTTACATCGAGTTCAGTCAAAAATGTACACTTTCATAAACAGGCTTTTCATCTTGATTTTGTTCATACACTGACTACCCTATAGAGCTCTGAGCCATCCAAAACAATCAGTTTCCCCTCCTCTTACTATAAAATGTTCATCCAAGTTAGTTCATATTACCCACTTTTAATAATGGGTAGTAACAAAAATGAATAAATCCACCTTTTTATAATGAGACAAAAGAGGATTTTTTTTTGTACTAAATAGTATTTTTCAAATTGTCTGCAGTGAATAAATATGACAATGAATGAGAAGCCAGAACTGGAATTAATGTGATTGAAGCAAGTGGAAGAAGTGAAAATGTAGGTTATGTTTTAATAGTGATTGGCAACTAATAATTTAGCTACAGTTCTTTTTTTTTAAGTCACTTTAAAGTAACTTAGTTTAAAATACAATTTAACAAATAGAAAAAACATATCTATTCTGCTATCATATACAGAAAAAGTGCATTTAAGAATAAAACGGTTTTATGTTGGAACATTTTCATTTCACTAAACTCAGAGAGACCATAAAATTATATATAAAAACATTACTCTAAATTTTTGAACTATAGATGTCACTGTTCAGTCATAAAATGGAACACTGAAGCCTTACTTACTCATCCTATGATTCCCTCCTACATTATTTCTAGATCAGGGACTTTTCCAGCTAATAATAAGTCTTCCATAGGGATGGCTTCAAAATACAATGGCCAGCGCAGTCGCAATTTTCCAATGCTTCAGTCTCAGGCCCCATCCCTCCAGAAGGTTATTCACATTATCCAAGTGAAATACATACAAGAGCCCAAAAAATAATCCCGTCTTGCTGATGCAGACCAAACATGCTTTCAGGGAATTCCCAAAGAGATTTTGCTTCTCTCCGTTAACTCTGCAACCTTGAAAACAACAGCGCTTCTATCTTCCTCTTTATAGTAGGGCAACAAAACACCATGATGTTTGAGTATCTATTTCATTTATCTTAAATTAAATGGGATTGGACTCTTGACTGAATAAGCCAGTAAGTCTGGTTCCAAGTATGTTCTCTAGAGCCTGTCCTCATGAAAGAATTTGATTAGAGTAACGGAACAAGGGAAATTGAACCAGATATAGGACATAAAAATTGGGCAGAATGGCCCAATTGAGAAAAACCTCATGCAGAAATGGTTTTGCCTCATACCCCCACTGGGCTTTTCCATATTGTTTGTGTGAAATTCTCTTCCTCATAACTGTGCCTTAAATTCCTGGCTTCTTTCCTAGAACAGTGTCTTTTAAAATGCCTATCTCTAATTTTTGCATAGCTTCAAATGAATAGATACAGATTTTTTTTTTTAAGTATATGTGTTTATCACCAGTGGAGTGGTATTAGATCTACATCAGCTTGTCTCTAAAATTCTAGCACTAAAATGAGTTGCATTGAACCATGTCAGCTCTAACTCCAGCAGGATGAATTGCAGGAAGTTTTCTTGTTCATGTTGCTTAATAGGACATTTGCAGGAAGCTCTTTTGGTGTATTAACATCATGGCTGGGTTTGAACCTCACCTGCAAGTTCACATGTCTGTTTGGAGCATTTAGATTTAGATATCCAGGAAAACTTAGCCAGCTCAATGCTCTAATCCAAGAGACTTTCTCCTCCCAGGGACTGCCTTAGCCACATTTTCTTTTTCACCACCAACTACATGGTCCTTGTTCTCTTGGAGTGAAAAAGGACTCAGATTTAAATGTCTAATTCACAATCCAAAGTGGTGCACTGTCTCACTGGGTTTCTTTATGACCTTAAATAAAGTTTTTATTAATGGCTTTTTGCCATATGAAATCATGAAGAGAGTTAAAAACATGTCATTTAGTAGTTGGAGGAGAGAACTGATCATTTCGAAATCTGTTTCTGACTGATGTTGCTCCTCTGCAGGCAAGAAATATGGAAGCAGGACCATGATCTCACGGGGTCCCTCTCTACTTGAGCAGAGTTATGTCTGATTTATTCCAGCTTGTGATTAATCAGTTTTCTAATAGCAAACACTGCAGCTAATCAGCTCTGATTAGAGATGGCATTGACGAGTTCAGCTGCTCTTATCAAGCTCATAGCTCATGCCTAGATGATGCATTTTATGAAAGTGTTAAGTATCATTGTCAAGTGTTTTATTATTGCTGACACATTCCTACTGTGCTCTCCTTGTAAAAGGCAGATGCAGAAATGCATTTGCTCTTGAGTGAAGTTCCAAGAGAAATACAGGCTGCTGCTGTCAGCAAATGTGGTCTTTTTGAGGGGCAGGGGGAAAGCAGGAAATATATCCTTGATTTAGAGTATCTCTTGCAGCCCAACTCTTGGTTTGCAGTCATTCCTCTGGTCCTTGGTTGTAGACATGAGCTTCAGTTGCCCAGACATCGGATTTATTTCTCTCTGTGTTCCTCACTTCCCAGGCTATCAGTGCAACTGCCTCTCCCAGTTTACTGGGAAAAACTGCGAGTCAGAGATTACAGCCTGCTTCCCAAACCCCTGTCGAAACGGAGGGTCGTGCGATCCCATCGGCAATGCGTTCATTTGCAACTGCAAACATGGCCTGACGGGCGTAACGTAAGTAGGCCTCGCCGCACGATGCCTGGAGCTTTGCAATTCACTGACAGAGGGTGTAGCAGAGGTGATACGGCATTTTGCACCAAAATACTAGTATTTCGGCAGTCAAAAGGCAGTCAAAGTTATTTAGTCACCTTAGGCTTGCCATAAAAGCTGAATTTGTTACATTCATTATTTTTTTAAATCCTGACCTTCATCATTGATGCAGTGTAGAAACAAAAAATTCCCTCACCTGCACTTCAGCGTGTTTCTTCTTCTCACGTGGCTTGTTTCATTCTTCCATTGTTTCAATTTTTGTTTTGTTTTGTTTTTTGTCACCTGTTCAACTTTCTGTCTATTTAAGGTTCTTCTTTCTATTCTTAATACTTCTCTAATATTTGCTCATTTTATGTTCAGCCCTAAGTAATTTTACATATTCATTATTTCCACCTCCTCTCTCAAATTAGTACCCTATTTTTTCCTATATTTAGTCTCCCTGCTATTCTCTCCTTGAATCCTCTTAATATTTTGTACTGAATCCCATGGGACAGTTCCAGAAAAGTATAAAAATGCTGAATTCTTTTATTACATTCTGTGAGCAGCATCAGAATCAAGAAGTCTTTTTCTATCAGATGCTTTAAACTCTTAGGACCATGTTGATATTTCCATTTTATTGACTTATAAACCATGGAGTGCTTTTTTATCTGTAGAAAAAATATAATTGCCATAAAATAAGATATTAATACAACCATTTGCTAAATACTGACAAGATGTTAACTGTAGTGGTGCCCCTTGGCAACCCAAGTCATCACGTGCAAACTGGGCTGCTTGCTAAACGTTCTTCAAGATCCATGTTCTCCTTTTCTTCTTTCAAGGTGTGAGGAAGATATCAACGAGTGTGAGAGAGAAGAATGTGAAAATGGTGGCTCCTGTGTCAACATATTTGGTTCCTTTCTGTGTAACTGCACTCCCGGCTACGTGGGGCAGTACTGCGGCCTTCGGCCTGTGGTGGTACCCAATATACAAGCTGGACATTCATACGTCGGCAAGGAGGAGCTAATAGGAATAGCTGTGGTCCTGTTTGTCATATTTGTGCTGATCGTCCTCTTCATTATTTTTCGCAAGAAGGTGTTCAGGAAGAATTATTCACGCAACAACATCACCCTTGTACAGGATCCAGCTACTGCCGCCCTGCTCAACAAGAGTAACGGCATCCAGTTCAAGAACATACGGAACAGTGGAGACAGCAGAAATATCTACCAAGAGGTTGGGCCTCCACAGGTTCCCGTGAGGCCAATGGCCTATACTCCGTGCTTTCAAAGCGACTCGCGGAATAACCTGGACAAGATAGTGGATGGTCTTGGGGTGGAGCACCAGGAGATGACGACGTTTCATCCCGAGTCCCCTCGAATACTAACGGCAAGGCGGGGTGTCGTCGTGTGTAGTGTAGCTCCAAACCTGCCCGCTGTGTCTCCCTGTCGCTCAGACTGTGACTCCATCAGGAAAAGCACATGGGACGCCGGGACAGAAAGTAAGTAGTGCTGCACACTCTTCTCGCTCTTTCCTGCTGTAGGTAAGTGCCGTTTTCTGCATGCAGCAGTTGCAGTAGTGCAGGAGTAGCAGAATTAATCACAAAACATTCTTTGGCAAGTGTTCTGCAAGCTCAATGGAGAACATTTAATGCACTAAGCTGAAGACTGACATACTTTACAGTGTTATATTTCAAAAAGAAATGATTATGTTTTGAAATGATATAATTAACACTAGACATGAGTGTTCTACTTATATGCATCTAAATGTGACTAAACATATACTTGACTTGCTTGTTCAGAAAGCAGGTATGCTTCTTCAAGTGCTACAATGCAAGCATCTTGCTTTGGAAAAAGTGGGTGTAATTTTTGACTACAAACTGTTGTCATTGCACAGTTAGTCTCCCAGGGAGGTTTAAAATGTTAAAAAATTCCGCAAGAAGCAGCACTGTTTTGGAAGAGCTCTACTGTATTACCAAATATTTAGTATTTCCAGTGTCTCTGAAAAGGAGCAGGGAATCATGCCCTACTTAGTAGACACCTTTTCAGTCCATTGCAATCCTATCTTCATTCAGTATCAGAATGATACAAAACTTCTTATCCTTAAAATTAAAACATTTGTGTTTTGTTTCTCCAGACTGATATCGTAGCACACCACCATTCCTGAACAAGCTGTAGGAAAACTTGACATATTCTGTCACTTCAGGAAATACCAGTTTGCAGGGTCAGAGTGAAGATCCTGCATTATCTATCTTCAAAAGTCAGGACAGGTCATATGGACTTGGAGGTTTTTTTGGGTTTTTTTTTTTGGTATTTTTTTGGTATTTTGGGGGGATTTTTTCCTAATGCATCCAATCCCATTGCCTGCTTAAACTAAAACTGCCACAATTAATACCCAATAATACCCTATGATCAATAATGTTTATAGTCCCATTTTTTTCAGATAATATGATCTGAGGAATAGAGAGAGGAATCTGGAGCTACCTTATATCTATGTCTTGGCATGCATATTTTCATCAAAGGCAACACCCTGGCAAAGGACTTTTAGTGAAAATCTGGAATAATTTTCATTTCTTCAAGTTGTATTCCACAAAAGTTGCGATAATGTAGTGGTGGAGCTTTTTAACCATTTAATATACCTTTATCGACTGAAAGAATAAGTATGCAAACCTCCATGTGCATTCTGTCCTGTATTGTGTGGGGTGTTTCTGCCACAGACACTGCTAGTATCTGAAAAAATTGCTATACAGCAGGAGGATGTACCCCAGAGACTGACCTCAGCTGTCAAGTGGGAAGCAGTACAGCTTCATTACTGCAGCACTCACTCCATCTAGCATGTGCCCTGTTTCTCAGCAGGAGCTAATCAACCAGTTCTGTATGGAGGTGCCTCATGCTGGTTAGGAATATCTACAGATACCAGGTGCAGAGCTGAACTTATGTGAATAGCCTGTTTGCAGTACCTGAGCTTGGCCATTTGTAATTAGCTTAGGTATCTCAGTGCTTATTATGAAGGATAACTTTTTGTTCCTTATTATCGCTCAGAGAATGTATGATTGAATGTGCTTATTTTTGTGTGTTTAATCGCATGAGAATTGTCAAGAGTGAATGTCCTTGATGAAAAGCAACATAAGTTAATCTACTATTTGTCAGCAGCAGAGCTATAAAATCTGATCCAAGGATCACTGATGCAATTTCCAAGATGCCCAATAACTTCTCCAAGCTTTGAATGAGCTTTTAATGAGACTCTCAAATTAGGAAATAAACAGTAAAGATAAATGTGACTGTGATCTCTTGTATAAGATGTTTTACCACAGTTTTTAAGTCTTCATTTTCTTTGCTGCTGAGATAACGTGGTGTGAAAAAGGCAATATTGAATACAGATTTTTCTTCCTTGATTATGGTGGTGTGAGCCACTTGAAAAACTATTTGGGCTTCAGATACTTCAAAAGTCCAAGTATTTTCATCAGCTGCCTTCTTAACCAATAGGTCGTTTCCTCAGTCTGAAGGAATGAATTCTATTCTGACCAAAAAAAAAGGCCGCTTGGTGGCAACATTTAAATGGCTCCATGGTATGAATAGACAAATGTGCATACCTATAGAGCACCATTTTGCTTTGTTTTTGCTGTCGATGAAGGTAAAGGGGTTGATGACGCTGAAGAAGTGACCTGTTTTGCAGGAAGCAATAAAGGCAGCAACTCTGAAGTACAGTCCCTCAGCTCCTTCCAGTCGGATTCGGGTGATGACAATGGTAAGAGATGCTTTTTTAATCTTTATTATGCTGGGAACAAAGGGATTAAACTCTTTTTCTAGTACTATAAAAATTCAGGAAATATTTAGAAAACCCTTTAACAATACTGGAAGTTAGAAAGTCCTGGGTATAAACCCTCTGCTTGTGGCCTTTTTTTTAATTATATGACTGTAATTAGCATCTTGATGTTTGCAGCTGTTGTATCACTTCTAAGCCATATAGTGAATTATAGGTGTGATACAGCAGGGCCTCTGGCAGCATGCAAGCTGACTAATAAGGAACATGCTTAACTGTAGACTTTCTACCATTTTTCCTCTTAGAACAGGTTGACTTTCATGTTTTACGAGTCAGTGCAACAGGGATTTCTGTGCAGTGTGCCAGGTCTCATTCATGGGCCCAGCAAAACTCTGCTAGTGCTCCGCATGCAGCAATGAGCAATCTTTGGTGACTTGGCCTCTTCCTGATAATCACAGCTGAACGAAGAATAGATCACCCTTAAATTCCTGCTCGGAGAGTATTAGTTGCCCACTGTCAAGTCCTAGATCATTATCTCAGTGGGTGACATAGGCAGAGCCAGATGCAGCCTGAATGAGACCTACCGAGTCAGATGAAACATTTGCTCCTAAGGCCCATGTGTGTTGAGCAGCGGATCTGAGAAAAGGGAGGATGTTTCTGCCTTGGAGGGATGATGTATCTCAGGGAAGCCTCATTCAAATACACAGGAAAAGATTATCACAAAGAAATTGCACTTATAATCCTCAGTATCAGTTAATGAACTGTCTGGAAACTCACTTTTACAGCGATGACATGCAGCCCTTCCCCAAGTGCTCTTAAATGTTGGGAAAAGCCCTTAAACTGAAGTGCGCTTGCATTTCCTTTTGGTTCAGTTGTGGTCTTTTTCCATCATGAGTGCCATGAGTGTTTTTGTCAGGCTTCTCAATGCTTTTCAGACACTTTTTCCCTGAAGAAGAGGAAGAAAAAAGAAAGTGGTAGTGTTGTTGATACTATAATAATTATTCAGATATTTTTTTACTGTAGACATGCTTACTTTTTATATCTCCCAAATACTATTTGAGCTTTTCAAGTGTGGGATGCTGCCTCCATTTAAGTCACTGCCATAGTACCCTCCGAAGTTGGATTTGCCCTTCTGTGCCCATTCATATTTTGTGAAAGCTGCATTTAAAATATGGATTTTTAAAGATAATTCTAGTTCAGGATCTAAACAAATCAATGCTTGGCTATCTTCAGAGTGACTGAGGGAGAGGACTTAAATCATCCAAGTCATTTTGCAGGGGTAGTGACAGGCAGCATGCTCTAGCTTTCTTGCACTGGCAGAGGAGTGGGAGAGGGTTTGTGGTAGAAGAGCCTAAAATACAGATGTAAGTGAACATCTGTACAGTAACGTGAACATAGGGGCTAGAGGATACTGCTTTTGGAGTTACAAATTCTTCCTGTCATTTTAATTCCCCACTTCCATCTAGTTAGTGCTATGAGGTTGTTGGTGAAACTGCAACAAATGCAATTGGGCATCCATGTTCTTCAGGGCGATAAGGAGGGATGCTCCTTCTTCACGCCTGTTCTTCCAGAGTTGAGACAACTGTGGCTGGGTGCTTATTTGGTTGGACAGGGAAGACACGCAGGCTCATGTCATGTTTCTGAACAAATCGTCGTGACAATGTGGTAAAACCACAGTTCTGACTCTTGCACCAGAGAAGCAAAGGGCCCTGCTGGAGCTGTGAAATGCTCATGTAAACATGTCACTTGGAATGGAAGACCTGTGACAAAAGTCTCCAAGAAACTGCAGAGTGATAGCACCAATTTTCTACCCGAGGGCAATGTGGGGTTTGGATATTTTGCCCTGTGTCACCTCTTGGTTCTGAGCCAGCCCTTAGCTGCCATGAGGACATTACACTGGCCCTGATTTCCGTGACCTTCAGTTTCTCACTGTCCCTTGCCTGTAACTCCGAGCTCCTTGTAGAAGCATCACTTTCCCCTCTCACATTGCCGTTTGTCTGACCCTCTCGTTAGCAGAGGAGCAAACCTTGGTGGTGGCTTCTTTGTTTCCAGCACTCAGATCAGCAGGGAAGCCAGCACTAGGATGCTGTTGTCACCTTTCTGCTGCAGTGGTGGCCAGTGCTCCTCTTGTGGCTCTATTCCCAGCTGCACAGCAGTTAATTACATGGTGTCTCTTATTTTTGCATAATGTTTATATGCATTAGCCACTATGAGTCTCCCTTGCTTTTACAATTACCAGTGCCACTGATGGCATAAGCATGGCATAAGCATGCTCATCATAGCATTAAAATATAGTTTCTTTGGCTTATCAAAGCTCTTTTTGGCAAGCATTCAACAAGGACTGAGGAAATTTGATGAGATCTCTGGTCTCTTGCCCAAAATTTAGCAGAGTCTTCAATATGTTCAGTGTATTTGAATGGTGCTATTACTGTTAACCCATTTTCTCTTGGTGGCCTCTAGGTCTATTGAATTTATGACACCAAAATATCTCTGACTCAGCATTTCCAGTCCCTACCTCAGCCTGCTCCAAAGCTGTCAGTTGTCTCAGAGCAATTAAAGACAGGGGGGAAAGCTTGATTCAGTGTCTACCAGACATAATGAGAGCTTCCCCACTGTTTTGAGTGGGTTTTGTCTCAAGTTCTCGAGTGTCAGGGTGTGAGCTGAGGCAAACTCCAGATCACTGAGAAGGCCACACATTGTAGCCCTGTTTGGCTCCGTGTTAAATGATTGCATTTTTTATGTTAGCAATTTCAAGGGAAAAGTATATTTTGGTAAAACAGTTGCAAGATACAGAGCATCTGCGAATGTATTCTATCAAATGCAGAAGAAATTTTGAACAAAGCCTACTTGACTGTGTCCTTTTAATTATAGTAGTACTGCTTAAAATCCCAGAGGCGTTATACTGAACAGCGCATACAGTAAATAAGTAAAACATTCCTGTTCAGAAGTAGATTAAGCTGAGGGCTTAGCACCATTTGAGATTTTGTGATGGTCTAAAAGATAATGATCCCTTGGAGCACATGGCACTGTCTCTGGAGACCTTTAAGCAAGAATGAATTAGAAATTAGTGTCAGGTAGACAAGATACTGCTTTGGTTAATTGAATCAGCTGACCAGTCTGTTTGAATTTATGAGGTGATATACATCATCCCATATGCCTTTTTGGAAATGCTGCTTTGGAATTTATCACCATTCTGAAAATGTATGGGATTATCTGAAATGAAATGTCCTGCAATCCACTGCATAAATCATGAATTGGTTGGCAGCCTTTTTTTTGGTTCAATGTCACTTCTGTCTGTTTGAGAGAATTTATTGTGGTAACATATGATCTGTGTTTTAAATACTAACCTGAAGCTGTCCTTCCCTTCCCTTTATTTTCTGCTTTCCCTCCCATGCAAGCTTCCATAGTGACTGTCATACAGCTTGTCAACAATGTAGTTGACACTATAGAAAATGAAGGTATTTAACTTTTTTTTCCTTATTGTTATGCAATAATGCTTCGTGTTCTCATTGTGAAACATCCCAGCAGAACCTCACTAATCTACACTGACCAGCAAAACCATGGCGGGTGATTGAGATTTGCAGACCAGCATGTTCACCAGCAAACTCAAGAACACAAGAGTGATGTAACTTTGGGTAATTGGAGGCGATAGAAAAGGAGCAAAGGCCTTCATCCTCTTCTGTTCAAGTCAATGTTTTTGCTTGCTTATTTCCATTGCCTTCAGAGAAAATAGGATTCAATTCATAATGCAGACAAATCATTGGGATTATCCTGTTTGCGGAGGCTGGGAAACTGAAGAAGATGCAGGAAGGCTGTAAAGAATCCGAGGCAGCAGGAAAGCTGGATTATAAACTCTATGTGGAGAGGTGCACAGTGGTGTTAGGCAGGTAGCCAGTTTGCCCCAGGTGCCATAGTGTCAGATAGATAGGAGATGTATAGACACAACTGCAAGGATGTCACATAGTGAGGCAGCTCGGCTGCATTGCCCTGAGCACTGGGAAAGACCGTCACAGTTGAGTCCAGTGACCCAGTACTCAGCTCTGCCACTGACTGCCTAGGTAACCTTAGGCAAATTGTGTTTCAAGCAGACCAGTTTCTGTATCTGTGAACAAGGAGTATCACCACTTTCCTCTTTTGCACAGCATTTTGTCATCTACTGATAAAATGTGATCTTTCAAAGCTAAACATTACTTTTATTTATTTATGCTTTACCCTGAGGAAGTCAGTTCGCCATAAACTCATGTTATTCATGAGTCCAAAATTTAACGTCTTTAACAAAGTTAAGGCAGCTTTGAAAACTGCAGCTAGCCCAACCTGAATAATGCTAAAAGATGATCAAGGAATTTATTTCTGTGAAATAACTGATTTTTCTCTTTAGGTATTCTAACAACGGTTTTAGAAAGCACATTTAGTCCTAAATAATGATGACACTTGAATATTTGTCTGTGGCATTTTTACTTATTTCCTGAAATGTAAAAATAGCCTAGTTTTGGCCGTCCCATAGAAAGTTAGCTGAGGTTAACAGCACTTAAAAAATAAGAAAAAAAAAATAAAACACTGAAAAGAAAGCATGACCATAAATGGTATTACCTTCCTACAGAAAGGCTTGAGCAGTGAAATTCTTGAACAAGAATTTCAAGAGGTTTTGCTCACTCTTGAAATCTTTGTGAGACCTGTTCTGCACCAGAGCTGGTGAAAGTGGTGAATACTGTTAGACGCACAGGAATTGAGGGTGATCACTGGCAGGAATGTTGCTCTGAAGCCCCAGGAGGGAAGGGCTCGAGCGGCGGGCTGAGGGGCTCCTTCCCGCGGGAGCTGCGGGTTGTGCAGTCAGCAGATCAGTGAGGTTCTATGGGATCGCGAGACGACGCAGCTCCGAGGTGTCTGACACAGCCTGCGTGCAATGCCCTTGCACTGGCTGAAAGACAGCAAAATCCTCTTGAAAGAAAGAACAAGAAAGGAAGAGAAGGGAAATGGGGTTAGGGCCGGTTCAGACAGAGCTGCCAAACCTGCAGTAGCCTCAACCCTCCTCTCCCCAGACTAACCCAGAGCAGTTAAAAAGCTGCCCTCTAGCTAATGAATAAATCACATCGCCCCATGCACTATGTGGTGATAAGCAAGGGCAAGAGTGGTACTCATAGCCAGAGGAGAGTGGTGCTATGAGTGGTACTCATAGCCTGGAGAATTGTCCTCTCTCCATTTATCTCATCCCCGCTTTAGGCCCAGAGGTTAATGCCAGAGAGGACTATTGCCCAACCAGAGCACCTGCAACAACGCGGTCTCGAGACTTTGCCCAGCAACTTCTTGCATGAAGCCCGATAACCTGTGGCTGAACACGAGCATCTCATCTAGAAAGCGCTGCAGCTTGCTCTTCCCCTCGTGTTCCACACACGACCTCTTCCCTCGCTCTCTGCCCCGCGCTCGCCTCTCCGTGCTGGAATGCCTCGCTCCCCGCCACCTAGCATGGCAGTGCAGGCGGGGGGCGCTGGGGACGGGGGGCCGCTGCAGCCGACGGCCCCATTAAATGGCTTTGTATTCTATTCTATTCAGGTTCTTATACCGTGCCCATCACCATGGTATCTGAGCCCAGGTGGGCCCAGATTTGTTTGAACCGGCCCTGAGAATGGTAGATTCTTATTTTTCTGTTTCAAAGTGAACAAGTGAGAGAGAAATGTACTTTTGCAATTAAAAGCCTTACAGGGGGCAGATAGCCCTTTCTGTGCTAAGAACTCCAGCTCTAATGTAATTTCGTATCTGCTCAATGAGGGTAAACAATTAAGACCCCATAGAAAAGGAATATAATACACATGACATAATCATTTCTTTATGTATGTTTGTATTTGACGGGGCAAGCTTATCTTGTACATTAAAATAAAAAGCAATTAAAACTACTAAAAATGACACTGAGCCCGCTGTACGTTAGAAATATGCATGCATTTGTGTCCTCATTTGTAATATAGTGTGCTGGCAACCAGCTCCGAGTTACCAGTTTTTACTTTTCACTTTGTGTCTGACAGTGTCTGTAATGGATCAAGGACAGAACTACAACAGAGGTGACTTTTCTTAGACACATTCTGGTGTCTCTTGGTCTGCGCTGCGGTGGGGAGGGCACTGGCTTAATCTTTTTTCACTTTGATCTGCTTCATGTGCCCTGTTTTGTTTGAGTTCTGTTGTGTTCGAATGCTGCATGAGTATGGCCAGCCACGTGTTTTTTCTTTCAGGATCCAGTTGTCCCTGTCTCAGTCAATCAGATTGTTTGCTTATACACTTTCTTTTCTGCAACAAAGTCATTGGAGGTGGAAGGGGAGATCCAGTGCAATATCATAAGCATGCTGACTTCATTCGTGTATTTTTTTTCAATTATGTGTAGAAAGCATTAATTCAAAGATTTTTATCATTTTGATTTTATAGCCTCGTAATTTCTAATGCAAACTAGTAGCATCCTAAGTTATAAAATACCATAGAGTGGTCATGTGTTGTTTCCTTGCTTGTTTGCGTTAGTGTAATACATTTTTGTTCCTCTCTCCTGCCCCTCTGGTCAGAGCATGGCTGACCTGTGTCCATGGCCTGTGGCGCATGCTGCGGTTTAACCGTGTTGCGAGGGTTCACAGGTTGCTCTCTAGCACGTGCATGCACGGCAGCCTGTTTCCATCAGGGGCTGCGTCCTAACGACGCGCTGCGCTTCTCTCTCCCGCTGCAGCGTATCACTGGGATACCTCCGACTGGATGCCAAGCGCGCGTTTATCCGACATTGAGGAAGTGCCCCACTTCGAGACCGCGGATGGAGGCTCCATTCACCACGGCAGTACCAGAGAGCTGGAAACAGATTACTACCTTGGTGGCTACGACATCGACAGCGACTACCCTCCCCCTCACGAAGAGGAGTTTTTAAGCCAGGACCAGTTACCGCCTCCTCTTCCAGAGGATTATCCGGACCAATACGACACCCTTCCGCCCTCGCAGCCGGTCTCGATGGCAAGCACGCTCAGCCCCGACCGCAGGCGACGGCCGCACTTCCACCCTAGCCAGTACCTCCCTCCTCATCCGTTCCCCAACGAGACGGACACGGCAGGGTCTCAGGCTGGGAATGAGTTTAGTACTTTTGCTGTTGGCCCAAGCCAGAACACAGAAAATGTTGGTGCAGGTAAGATGCCCCTATCCTTGCACAACTCTCTAGATGCCTCCTCCTCTGACGTCTCAGCCAGCTGCGGCTTTGATGACTCCGAAGTAGCCATGAGTGACTATGAAAGTGTGGAGGAACTCAACCTAGAAAATGTTCACATTCCATTTGTGGAGACCCAGCATCAGACACAAGTGTAAAGGAAACTCCCTTTTTCTTCCTCTTCTTTTGATTTTTTTTTGGTCATCTGGTCCAATTAATAGTATAAATATTGAGAAGAAATTTTGCTAAAGGTGTATCTATGTATATTGGGCAAGGCAAAAATACACTATAATCCATTATTAACTTGTTCGGAAATGATACTGTATGTGCAGACACAAAGAGATCAATTGTGTTAAGTGTTGCACATCACAAAATTGTTCCAGGCAATCTGGAGAGTGTGTACCCTCTATTTATTAGCAAGAGTAAAACAGAGCTTATGAAGCAGGGGGTGGAAAAAATCTCATTGCTAGATAATTTCTTTCTTTATGTCCTCTTCCCCCAGGGTTTGGGTGTTTTTTGATATTGTATTATTAAAAGTGTTACAGTGTTATAATCTCCCCACAGTATTAATGACCTGGTATGGATCATTCCAAGACACATTGTTGCATGAAATTTTATGTCAGCAAAAGAGTGAAAAGTAAGTGATTGCTGAGGCTGCTTTGTATAACAGTTCTGATGGCGTAAAAAAAGCAATTAACGTTGATGTGTTGAAGACAAGATACTAGTCATTTGTTCATAAATACTCACCTATAGTTTTTGTTATATAGGATTTCATTATAACTTGCATGCATATAGAGTGGCATATGTGCAGTGTATATTTACACCAAGTTGCCCTAATTTGGGTGCCATTTTTTAAAACTTATCTTCAGATATGCAACAGATTTCACCTTCTAAAAACATCATATTTTGACTTTCTAGTTGTCCAGCCCGGCCCCTAGCTACGTGTGGCTTCCCTTGACTTCACATGCAATATGACTGAATATACACCAGAAAGCAGTCTGGAAACATAGGTTTCTGCAAAGTGCTGCTGCTGATTTGACATTCCTAAATTGCACAATAACCTTTTTAGCAGCAGCCATTGTGCTACAATTATTGCAGTAAAATTAGTTGTAATTAAGTTGAATATAATGGTGCTATAATCTCACATTTTTAGTTTACCATTGTTTGGTAAATGTCCATCCCCACTGGTTATGGGATCCCTTCTCACCTGCTGTAAACTGTCTCAGTTAGTGGAACGGCAAGGATGGACTGTAGCCAAATATCTGGCCCTAGATTTTCAGTTGGAGCTAAGCGTGATTTTGAAATAAAAGGTTTTCATTCAACGTTTTAAAGCAGAATATACACACCCTTGGCTTAGTTCTTTGAAGATGTTTTTACCACCACCATTTTGCATCATCTCTACACCTAACACAGTGAGTGCGAGTCTGGAGCATGCGTTACTGCCGCGGTTTCATCCATTCTTTCCATGCCACATTACAGTCATTTTGATAAACTGTTGGGAAGGTGAAGTATTGTTACAGATGAACAGATATATCAACAGGTTTCCCATGCCAGTTTCCATATCCTGTCTCTTGGTCAAGTGTCTTAATTGAATAGTTTCAGCAGTTGTATTCTAGGCAATGTATTCTTAACTGACTTGATTTTCACCCCAAATTAAATTGTGGGCCATTTTGTGACATACAGGAACTGTTTATTCAAAATTATTCCAAACAAAAAGAAATTAATAATAGAATGTAATTTAAGCAATTGCAGCTTGTAACACTTTTAATAAAACAGGATCTCTAAAATTCATGGAGTAGATGTGCTATGTTGCTGCTTCCCTCCAGTATCTCATGATCAGTGCAAGGTTGGTGAAGACCTTTTCTTTGGGTTCATGCAGCAGTTCTTCATTAGAAAACAGCTTGTTTTTCAGAGGTACATGAATAAATTGAGCAAACTTTTAGAAAAGCCATGTACTGCACATACAAGTATTATCAAGTACTTGTCTGCGTATAGTTCCTGTTCATTGAATTTATGAATGTCACTTGGTCTTCTCGAAGTTAACATGCTTCTGTCACAGTGATACATTCTGAATGTGCTCATGGTACATTTCAACTCCCTTTCCCTGCTTTCTCCCAGTGTTTTCAAGGGAAAAAATGGAAATTTGCATCGTGATTGCAAGGAACCGAGGGATTTGTTTGAAATGCAGCCATAAAATGGTTTGGCAAGTGTTGAGGAACAGATAGAGGATGACTTGCACTGCTCACAATGCTTGTGTTGCTGGAAAACAGGTGCGAGAATTAGACTGATGCCTGTTCAAGAGCAGGAACATTTGAGTTCGAAAAATATACCTGCAAGTTCAGGTGCTGAGCTGCAGTTTTAAAGCTGGTACTGTTTTCTGAGAATGTAATACTTTCTTAGCATCTGGCTGCAGTATTTACGGCATTTGTTCCTACTCAATTTTGGTGTGGTACATTTAAATCTATTATGCAACTAGTTGTATTTTAGCCCCCAGACAAGTGTACTTGTCATCTTAGTAATGAAAAATCTGGAGAAAGACAGAGACGGTGATATCAAACATTTACTTGGACATATCAAAAGTGTCACAAGGGGAAACATCACTGGGAGCCTAGCAATTGCCATACAAAACAGAGCAATGTTTTTTACTAAGCTTGTTGCCTCAGTAATATCTTGTCGGTAAAAATAGTGAGTTTTACTAGTAAAAGATGCATAAATACAATGTATAATATTTTTCCTGTTTTGATATTGTTGCCATTTAATTTCACTGAACACCTACTTATTAAAGTGCTGTTGGGAAGGGTCCCAGTTTAGCCTTCTCTGTCCCGCTCATGACCTCTATACCTCAGTATCTCCTCCTCTCCAAACCCAACGGGCCTCGTCTCATCTCTCCGTCTCCAAGTCGATGCCCCTCTGTGCGTGTTACCACTTCTGTGGCCTTTGGCGTTTCCTTCTGCTCTTTCTGATAAACTGGTTAAACCTGGGTGCAGATCCCAGGGTGAAATACCTCCTAGGGAGTAAAATTGTCATGTTGCTATCTCTCACATTAATCCAAACAACCATCTTATTTTCTTTTTTAATTGCTGCTGTACATTAGTGACCCCTAGTCTTTTAATCTGTGCAGTTACAACATTGTCACAACCTGATGTAAATATAATAGGGTTCACACTGCTTCATCCAATATCTGTCTGCCAGGTGATAATTTTTATATAGCTGCTGCTGTCTTTCCTAGGTCCATGGTTTTGTTAGAGCCTCCCTTGACATCTCTGCTGCCTGTTGAGCCCTAATCCTGCATGTCTGTATTTCTGTTCATGTTCTGTAGATGGCTCCACTGCACAGTACTTTCTTTCAGAGTCATCTGCAGGAGAGGTTCCCTAGGCAAAAGTACAGCTGATCAGCTGATAAATATCCCTTGGGATCGCTAGAGACCTTGCCTTTTGTAAGAAAGCAAGGAGAGAAAGAGGCAATTTGTTAAAATGCTAATGCATGCTTGTATCAAAGCCCACTAAATTTGCAAGGTGTGAGTGTCTGGCTGAAAGAGGGTGCATGTTGTCCATGTTTTGGCCCGGGTTAAGGACACCATGTGCACAGGCAGCTCTGTCGGTAATTCTGGCAATGGAAAGGTCCTTAAAGAGACTGACAGTGCAATTTATGCTGCCAAGACTGCATTAAGTATCCTTGTGCAAGAGGAAAAATTTGACTGATCAACTTTTCTTAATCATCCTAATTATTCTGCCTTTAGATTATAAAAATTCTAAAAAAAAAAGAAAAAAGAAAAGAAAAGAAAAGAAAAGAAAAGAAAAGAAGAAAAGTAAAAAAAACTCCCTAAAACCATATTCTCAAAGATACCGGATGCAATGGTTGTCCAGATCAAGTGTCTTTTGCAGAGCAAAGGACCAAAGGTGATCCCATGACAGAGCATTACTTCCTTCCCATAGGGCCAAAGGGACAGCCCCTCCTGTGACAACTGTGAAGTGGCCTTCTGAGGACCCTGCTATAGCACAGAGCATGTGAGGGTGACCAGGAGGATGCAGCACTGCAGAGGCTCGTGACAATGCTGTGATATCCGTGCAGCCAAGACAGGTTCCTATAACTTGCTATCACCCTTGATCCTCAGTTATCCTGTGGGTTTCTTAAGCCTATAGGCAATGCAAAGCTGGAAGGTGTCAAAGACTCTCAGAGTCACTGTATTTCTTAAGGCAAAAGGTTGTGTCTCTGAAGCAGACTCTCATCCTTTGTATGTTCCATAGATGGGTCGAATTTTGGTCCTCAGATTTTTATTTTTCTAAATTTCCTTGCATGGTCTGACTTAGTGCTAGCCTACTCTTTTGGTACCCTCCCTAATCAGAAACTCAGACTGAATACAACACTGTAAGGAAGTGCATGCCACTGATGTGCTGGTCATTAAAAAGGTAGCAGCCTGTTTTCACTGAAAGTCCTGCAGATAGTCAGCTCTGAGAAGATGATGTGTTACTTTCTCAGCATAACTTCCACTGTAAAGAGAAAAGTGAAGAAAGAGAAAGGAAAAATATCTTCAGGTCACAGCTTTGCTGTGCATCAAGAGTCTGTTTGAAAAAACTCATTAAAATGAATGGTATGGGAATTCTTTATAGCCAGTAATTCCAAATACAGGAGAACGTTGAAGGAGCCCTGGACCAGTTCTGTTTGACTTTGTTTGGAAAGGTGGCATCCATCCTAATGGAGAACAACAGCTATTGAAACCCAGCTGTGGAAGTACATCTGCGCTTTGTTGGAATTTTGGAACTATAAACTGAGTAATCATGGACATTTCAAGGTTTCCAAAGAGAGAGCGACAACTTCAGGTTAATACTGTGATACACGGTCTGTGGAGAACTGTTCCTTTTGCTTGTTTGCATCTCTTATTTTTCTCAATACACCAGTGATTTGTGCCCTAGAAGTTTAGATTGTTGACCATTATTCATGGCCTTTAGCCTGCATTTCATAAACCTGACTTTCAACACCCACTATCAAAGGGGCATTCAGTTAGTAAATGAGATGCATCATACAAGGGGTGGGCGAATGGAGAGGAAATGAAATTAAATTCATTTCTTTATGTAATAATGAAAAGCAATAATTACAAAGATGATGTATTACACAAAGGCCATAAGTAATCTTTACCAGTGTTAAGAGTGCACTTGAACTGTGTTATGGAAGGAGATTGGAGCCCTCAGAACTGTGGCATTCTTCTGTCCTAGGAATACCTGAATTGCTCTTATTTAACAGTCAAATGAGCCCATACTGCCGCTTTTCAGGAAGTGACAAAGTTGTTTAGGAATGAAAGCAGTTCTCTTTAAAGCACTGTATGGAAAGATTGTCTTGTAAATTTTACCTGTTGCAAGCAGGCTGGTTTGTAAAAGATGTATGTTTTGGTGTTGAAAAAGAAGTTTATAAAATAATGTATATAATGGTTTCAAATTACCAGGCTTTTGTAGATATTTGATGCCAGTCAGGTTGCTTTAATTTTTTTCGGTTCATTTGTTTGTTTGATATAATTCTAAAGAGTCATCCAAGTTGGGTTAAACTTTTAAGATAACAGCAAAAAAAAAGTTTTACATTTGAAAACTGGTACTTTTTAATCATTTCAAAATGTACTGTAACTTTCCTTTTGGTTCAGCTCTTTTTGTTTAACTTTTTCTGTTTTTAAGAAGATGTTTTTTATTGACTTTTTTTAAATGAATGTGTTTTGCACAAAAAAAAAGAGAGATATGATTTTTATGCCATTTCAAGTAGGTATTAAAAGATGTCATTTCTCCAATGACAACAAATTCAACCTTATGCAAAAGGGAAGGTTTATCACTTCAAGTGGGTATAGTCCCTCACCTGAAAACTA